AGGAACAATGGCCAGAAGCTGCTGGAGAATAGGTTCAGGTTAGAGATTAGGAGGCACTATTTCACTGTTAGGGTGGCTAGGATCTGGAACCAACTTCCTAGGGAAGTGGTCCTCGCTCCTACCTTGGTTAAATTAAAAAAGAAGTCGGACGAACACCTGTCTGGGGTCATGTGATCCCAGCGTGTGCTCCTGCCAGTGGCGAGGGTTCAGACTAGATGATGTGTTCAGGTCCCTTCTGACCTCAAACTACTATGAAACTATGAGTTAGGGGTCCAGGTACATTGACAGACACCTGAGGCCTCAGTGAGCCATAGGCCAAGTTTAAGACACCCGAGGCTAGAGAGGGCCAGGGGCCAGAATCAGCCCAGTTTGTGCGGCAGTAGCCTGATGCCCCATTGTAGAGTAGGGCCTGAATTGGGCAGCCTGAAGGTCTGTGAGGGATCAGGACCAAGTGTGAGAGAGAGGAAGCCTGAAGGGCTGTATGGAGTAGGACCAAGGGGGCCATAGGGTAGAGTGTATGTGGCCTATGGTAGGGCGATAATGAGTGTGACCCAGTAAAAGGGGCAACATGAGTGAGACCCAGTTATGGGGACGTGCGTAGGAGGCCCAACATAGGGACAGAGTCCATCCCTGGAGAGGGCTAAGTCAACTGTTTAGAGGCCATCTGTGAAGCATGGGACATGGTAAAGGGTAGGTCAGAGCTCTGTATTTTGCCCCTGGCATCAAGGCTTAGAATGGGCACCCTCCTGCTTAAATTAACACCAAACGTTATGGAGCAAAGGCGTGGCAGGAGAGGCAGGGTGGACTTCCCTAGACAGCTGACCTTGGCTGGAGACTGCCCCCTGTCACAGAGACCTAATATAGTAAATGCCTCAAATCCTCTCCTGTTGCTCAGCTCTCAAGGATGACATGTAATTAAGGTGGAGAGTAAAGAAAACAGGATATTTTCACCTTATCCATAGTTTGGGAAAAGCTGTAGTTTCTCAACAAGCTCTAGATGCTAGAATTTGACATGAAGTAATAGGCACTGAAACTTTTGCCAGAGACTTGTATAAGGAATATATATATATATATGTTCTAAATTATTTTTATTCTGTTATTTGTGCAGATCATTATTCTATATTTAATACTTGGAAAGCCACCTCCATCCAGTAATTCCCCATATATTGTTATAACATATGCACTGCTCCTTTTGCCAAGTGACTTGTCAAGTTGCATACAAACATTGTTTCAGTAATTCCTCCCAGGGTAGTCCCACTCTTATTCTCCTCAATCAGATTCTCCTGAGCTGTTCTCTCAGTCCCTGTAAAATCTCACCGAAATCAATACCTTCCCCACCATGGCTCTTATTAGAGGATCCAAGACTTCAGTACTGAACCCTGAGGAAACACCTCCTCCTTTATATTTATTTAGACTGTTGAAGAAGCATTCTTTGTCATATGAAAAACAGAACATTATCAATAGTGACTAACGAAATGAATAGTTAAAAAGTGGTGAAGCCTTAGACTGAAATTCTTCCATACTCCAATCCTGCAGAGCCATAAGTATGTGCTTAATTGAGCATTATGAGTGGTTCCACTGAAGTCAGTGAAATTACTCACAGTGCATAAAATTAAGTATATGTTTAAGTTTTTGCATTACAAAGGGTCCTAGGGCAGAAGAGCCACACTCCATCAAATGATCCAAATGCAATACCGTGGACATGGCAGAAATTGAACTATGCACTTTCTCCTCACATTGGCTTGTGTTGGAATTAGATACTGTATGAAATAACAGAGGAGACGGGAAATTGACAATAAAAATGTATGTCTCCGAAACTGATGGAGTAAAAGGGGTATGATATCACTGGCAGTCAGTCTTATTGCATACAAGCAGACAGAATGCAAACATTACAAAGACAAGAAACTTTCTCCTACCAGGAAGCGCTGTCTGGCTGCCTCTCCTCTTAACACTATTGATTATGTTCCCAAAAGGTCATAAATTACTGGAAGAGTTATTTTTAAGAATATTTGCTGAGCCTGACCTGTCAAGAGAGGTTAATCTAATGACTTTCCTACCTCCAGCCAGCACTAGAATAGAGCTGGATTTCTTCTTGACTGCTGTTAAAAGCTCCCTTGTCTTTCAGGTTCATCCAAACTTGTTATTAAAAATATAAATGAGTCAGATGACAAAATGGATAAACCATATTACACAGAGGCCAGAACAAGGAGACTGGGCTATAGAGAAAGGGTGTCTGGCTTACACTAATAGAACAGCATCATAACTTTAGTTTGTGATTCTGCTGGGCTAATCCTAAACAAAAAAAAGTCAGAAATAAAGCTCTGCAGGGTTTAATTCATATTTGCTTTCAGAGTAACAAGGGGCTCAAATGTTTAGTTTTAATCAGTAGTTCTATTTTTTTAAGTGGCATTGCTCAGAGGAAAAATGTCTACTCTACTGAAGTAAAAAAAAAAACAAACCCATCACCTCACAACTATGTATAGATGGGCTGATATTTTATCTTTTCAAGTTATTTAAATGTTGCAATCCCTTTAAACATACACAAGTAATGAAAGTTGCAACACAATGTATCCTTTTCTAAGGCCCTTCATACAGAGCACTACAGATGGTACAACACAGAATGGAGGAGGACATATTCTGTTCTCAGTTACTCTTGCATAAATACAGAGCAAATACATTATCTCAAGTCAGATTGTACTATATCTATACCAGTGCCTTCAAGATCAGAATTTATGTCAACTAAGGAGATAGAAACTAGAAAAGACAGGAGAAATGCTTTGCAGAAAAAAATTAGAATACAGATGAATTAATGTGTACGTTTGGGTACAAGATTTCTCATTCAGATGGAAAAAGGAAACAATCAGTGAAGAGAGACTGCTAAAACACACCCAGTTTGCCTCTTTACTATAGTGTCTTACAGGTAAGACCATAACTGCCATGGAGGGACCAGAGCTTAGGAACCTTTCAGTGCGTTTCTTCCTGGTCAGGATTTTTCCCTTATAATTTATTTCATTAAGCAGTGCTGGAATATTAAAAAAACAGAGGAATATAACTTTAAAGCTAGCACAAGCACTATTCAGCTCCATTCGTACTTTGATTTTCTTTGGTTTTCTTTTTTTCTTTTGTACTTAGAGGCAGCTCAGATTAATTTTACTGCAGTTGAAAATCATGCAAATATAGTTTGGAAAGAGTCATTTAATTCTTTATTGCTCTTGCACACAACACAAATAGCACCTCCAGTACTAACACTGCTAAGTGTTTTTAGTGTTATTCCACTATACAGTACATCACAATGTTAATTTTCCACATTACTTTATTCCTTCTCTAGCCCATATTTTACAACAGAGAAAACAAACTGCTTGTAATTACACTGCATGCCAGGACAAATTAAGTAAACACGCATTTTTAATGCTTTTGGCTGTTAGGGTGAGAAACAAAGGGCTCTGGTTAAGGTCAATATTAGAGTTATGCAATTGCTCTGGGATACAAAAGACAAATGCCAGTGATTGAACATCAGTAAAATGGAAACTGTCTATTCAGTGCAATGTTTTTGAACTCTTAGGGGAAAAAAATACACTGCCTTTGAGACTAGGTCAGTTCTGTACTTTATTTTCATTTTCTTTCAGAATAATACCAATACCAATAATAAATAATAATAATAAACTAATGGGAAAATCTATTGTGTCATTAGTGAAGTGATAAATCAGCAAAAAATAAATTGGAGAATGGCTATCTGGGCTCAGCCTTTTGCTGTACATGCAAACACTACTCTTTCAGGACTGTTGGATGACACTGATAAAGGTTAACAGCAACTATAGGGGGAAACTGGATTTTGTTCTAGTTGATACCAGCATAAATCTGAGTTCAATGGAATTATACCAGTGTAATTGAGAGCAGATAGTGGCCTGATGATTTTATTATTTGAACAGGGGACACTAAAGAATGTTAAATGTGTTTTCCTTTAATAGTGCAGTTTTGGGCTAGCGGCACAAAATTCAGATGCAGGTCAGAACTTGAGGTGTTTTCAGAGCAAGGCTTTTACCCATCAGTTATAGATACAGGGGTGTGATCCACGCTTGTGGTTCATGTGCATCTCTCACTTAGTGATAAATCCATCCTTTCTCCTTTGTTCCAAGCACAAGAAATGTACGTTTTCGACCTTGCCTTTACTAGTAAAGACACCTAGCACAGAAGAGAAAAATGAAAAAGAACAATAAAATCTCCACATGACATTTCTCAGCCTCTTCAGAAAAGATAAGAGAATGAATGAACATATAAGAGATATTAGTCACATCATTTAAAGTACTATAGGAAGGGGCTTCAACACTACAGTGATGGATGCTGTATCAGAATCTGAGGGGAACACAAACTGGATTGGAATACCTGGGGCACATTTCAGCAAAGAGGGCATTAAAGCAGCCAAGTTTAAACCCCAAGAAGCATTTTTTAATAAAAATTCTGGAAGATCAATAATTATCTCTAAAATCTGTGATAGACATAACTGTAAGGCAGATTGTGGCTAGCTGATGGAGCACCAACAGTGCAGTGCAGCCGTAGCTAGCAAGCATATGTTCCTCCTACCCTGTACAAGGGTCAGCCACAACTGGCTGAATTTCCTATACTCTACTGGAAGGGTCTATTCACTGCCATTGTTTACTGGGCCCACAGGAAGAGTGCTGTGGAAGGAGATTATTTTGTGGTTCTGCTCCATTACACAAAAGGGAATACTGGCAAGTGTTTCAGTTCAGGTCCCAACTACCATCCAACTAAAGGCATGGACATGGAAAACTTAAGACTGCTTTCAGTGGAGTTTAAAACTGAAGCAGACAGACACACAAGCCTGTTGTGTTGGTTTAAAGCCATCTGGAATGGCTCAAAGGTATACCTGGAAAATCAGGTACTCTCTTGAACTGCTTCACAGTGCACTTATTCAGTTACGTGTGGAAAACAAGTGTTCTCTGACACTCCAGGCAATGCACACTGTATCACTCCTCACCTCCCCACACACTGCTGCTGCTCTGGTATGCGGCCTCCTCTTCCCACCTCCCCTCTTCCCCCAACCATTATTTTTCCTTTTGTTGGCACTTTTTCTCAAAAAAAAGGTCAAAACAGCACAACTGGAACAAAACAAAGGCCGTCAAAATAGCCTCAAAACAAAACGAGGCTAGTCGAAACATTTCAAAAGTCAAAACATTTTGACCGTAGGCTGGGAATGGGAAGTCAGTCCAGCTGGGCTGACTTCCCATCCTCAGCACAAGATCTGGCAGGGAACAAGGAGTCAGCCCAGCTGGGTTGACTTCCCATCCCCGGCACTAGATCACGTGGGAGGCGGGAAACACCCAACTGGGCTGCTTTCCCATCTCCCATGCTAGATCACGTTGGTGGTGGGAGGGAGCCCAGCCGGTCTACTTCCCCATCCCCGGTGCTAAATCACGCAGGAGGTGAAAGGCAGCCCAGCTGGGCTGACTGCCCATCCCCAGCGAAATGTCGAAATGGCATCATAACAGCCTTTCTGTTTCAACGGAACAAAACAGAACAGCTGTTTCAGCTCAAAATGAAATTCAAATTGGAATGTTGTTCCATCGAAACTGAAGGCAAAACAGAATGGTGCTGTTTTGCACAGCCCTACCAAGCATGTACAACCACTAGCGACCCCAAGACAGGCAAGCATGCTACCAACTGCAGTCAACTGCAGGATGCTGAAGTCTACTGAACTCATATTTAGGACAGAAGAGAAAGCAAAAAAGTGAAAACAACCCCAGCCATGGGCCATCTATCCCAGAGATCCTCAAATCTGGGTGCAAATGTTCCCCCACTACCCGCTCATCCATAGCAAGGTATCCTGAGCTCACTCTCAACCCCTGATGTCAGAACCACACCTCTTCAACTCCTAAAAGATGACTATTCTACCTGGAATACTAGTGCTTTATACACATAGACACCTCTGATCCACAACAACTGTAAACTGGTTCCAAGTCAGTGACACTTGGAAATGGTTTAATTGTTATCTGTGTCCATGCACTAGGCCTATGCCCTAAAGAAGAATCTAATCTGGAATGTAAAACTGGTTCTGTTGCTGGATGGTTTCACCCATAGCCAACCATGTTTCCATTATTTTGCTCTTCTTCCCTTTCCATGTTTATCATTTTACATTCTCCCTGTACCACAACCTAAATAAGAACATCCAGAAGGAATACACAAATGATGGGCTTGATCCAGCTCTCCTTAGAGCTCAAATTGGGAAATGGATCAAGTCCTATAGTATGGACTGTATTCCGAAAGGTAAATTCAGAATTGTCCCTGCTGAGGAGCAAATAAATTATGTAGGTTGTCTAGAAACTGTCAATAAGATAGTTTGTAAATGGTAATTTCTTGCAAAAATAATCCTGAATCAAATGTGTGTGTAAAATGTTACAGATCAAATTCTGTTGTGGATATGTTGTCACTCCCATAACCATTGATATGACCCCTGTAAGTGCAACTGAAGTGAGTGAATTCGTAGACATATAGAGGGGGATTTAAAAAGGGACCAAGAGAAGGAAAAGAAGAAAAAGAGATTGCTGTGATGGACATGAGCAAGGAGGGTGCACAAAAGTTTGTGTTCATGGTGGCAGAATGAAGACACACAAAATAAGAAGGGTGAGTCTACACTGGGATAAGTTTGTGAGTTATGAAAGAAGGCAAAGAATATAATGTAGAAGATGACAACATGTACTCAGGTTTATCTGGGCACAGATATGGGGCATTTTAAATAGCAAAATAGTAGTCTACTTGAACAGAGTTGCTGAAAATGCTTTTTCGTATTCTGACTACCATATGTCATTAATGATAATTATAGTTAGCTTACATACATATAGCACCTCCCTGCCGGAATCACTTCATTTAAGCCGTGTGAATCATTCTACCTACCTTTGAAATGCAACCATCTCTGCATGTGTTTGCAAGTACAATGAAAACTTACTCAATTGTTATGATATAATCACGGTTTGGGAACTGAGGGGTTTTTTCCAGGAAAGAGTTTTAGTCTGTTAGCCATGTTTCAGAATGCAGCATACTTTCTCTTGATGTGGTTGCTGTTCTATTCATTCGTATTGTAATGTTTCTGAATAATCTATCATATTTTATCTTGCTACATTTAAATTGTACACTCCATGGACTGGCTATTTATGCATTCTCTTTCATTGTAATAATAGGCATGCACATGGATATTTAACATTACACAAGTTATATTTTAAGATGTTGTTCGCTTAGCTTGCTTACAGCTATTTTAAGTCTATATATTTGGAAAAGTTTATTGCATGATCTTAGATTATGCTGAATATAAAAACTAGAACTTTGCAGTACTGTATCACTAATTTCCTGAATGGAAAAACTGTTTTCTAGAACTAAAGGTTCATAAAGGCCTTGTAAAAGTTTAGTGAATAGGGCCTGTAACCTATTTATCCCCTTGTATTCAATCCAATTCACTTTAGTCAATGCACACAGTAAATAATGATACTGATGTTATGAGGATCTTTCCTTCCTTATGAACAACTATTCACTTGTATCCTGTTATAATGATAATGTCACTGATTTACTGAGGTTGCCCAAGTTACCTTATTAATTAGAAGATGCATTACGCCTATTGCAAAACATTGTTCTGACTGTGAGCTATCACTGCCCAAGGACCTCTAAAAGACAAAGAATTCCATTTTGCAAAATCTAGTTAACATATCAAAGAGCAGTAAATGTGCAAATTGCTGTCATAAGGAATCCTTTATTGCTTTTCCTTTTCATGATGGCACCCCTCCCCCAGCCTCTCTATTCTAGCCACTTTGACAAGGTTACTCATTGGAAAGAAGAGCAGCTATTTATGTTCTTCAGATGTTTACCTTCAGCAAAAGACACTTCAAAGAGTGCTTATGGGACTCTCCCCTAGTCCAGCAAACACTTAAAACCCATTGTTGTGATTGATGGATCCTTCCTACAGATTTAATAAAAATAAGCAGAAGCCAGATCTTTTTTTTTAGGCCAGCTGTCTGAATAATAGGCAAATAGCTCATGGGTGGCCTAAGTGGATGGGACTTTTTTTAGGAAATGCTTAAATGACGGTTTGATGCCCTTTGTGTGTGTGTGTTTTGCAGGCTTATTTTCTGAACACACCCAATATTTAATGACATTTTCTGCTGATCGTGATGGCGTTGGTCTCTTAAGCAGATCACACAGTCTTCTCTTGGTAATTTTGCACGCGAGAGCTGCAGAAGAGACGAGACTGCTTTGTGTTTGTTCAGATTTAGAGCTAGGCTGAACTGGTTCAATGAACTGTGAGAGCCTCCAAATACAGGATATTATGAGGATCATAGATAGGTAAGGCTTTTCAGAACTAGATCTAATGTCTGGTCAGAGCCCTGGCACCATCAATAAAGTCACTCCCAGACAAAACATCAAGGAAAGTATCACTTCAAACAAATGCATCACAGCATCAGCTAATACTACCTGCCTAATGTTATGGCATCACACTTCCCTAGAATATTTACTGGCACTGCTTAAAAAATGACTGTCCTATTTATTCAGTACACTGTGCCTTTGTTAGAATTGACCTGTAAGAGTGTGAGATACTCAAGGACAGCCAGGATGTCAAATATTTCAGGAGGAGCCCACCCTAAATCTGATACATGTGTATATACACAACTTTCTCTGTATTTAGTCAGGTAAGAGATAAACTGAAATGTTTAATTTTCATGTGAAAATGAATGTAGTTCTCATGAAAATAAAAGGTGAGTAGCACTGCCTTGAGATAAGCTTCCCCCATGACTGTGATAATGCCAATCTTGACCTTCAGAAACCCAATTATTCAAGCCCTGTGGCTTACTTGAAGGTAAAGGTTCTCAGTTGTATCCTATGACTAAAGATTCACAGGGAAGAAGGATACAGCCACCAATCTTATTCATAAACTCACTTGCAAATGTGTTGCTCTATCATGCTGTAGTTTGCCATGAAATCTAAACTGCTTATTGCATTTTCGAATCTAACATTAAATTACTGAAACAAAACTGTGGATGAAAGGAAATTGAGGAGGATTATTTGGCGGGGTGGGGGCCTTTTCTTTTCATGGTCACATTTGCCTGAGCTCTGAATGCTGTTGTGTGAAAATGTAAAGTCTTTCTGAGACATATAGAAATGCAGCCTGTCTTCCAAAGCTG